AATCGTAGATAAAAACGATGTAGTATCTCATATTAAAATATTTTCTATTCTCTAAATTGTCTAAATATGTAGAATAATTCTATTGAACCTACCTTTTGTAGGTACTGTTAATGGTTCGTTATCATCAACAGATAATGTTTCATCTGTTATGGGTTTACTTTCTAATATTGTTTTGTTATTTTCATTTTGATATTTTGATCGTTTTTCACGACAATACCATTGACGATAATTACTAGCAGCCAATTCTTTCTATAAGCATAAAAATAGCATATATACTACTTGAAAAAAAATATTTTTTTTATTGATTTTCTAAAAATATACTGTCATCATAAAAACATATTTTTATATTTTGGAAGCTCTAGAAGTTTTAAATTAGTTGCAATGAAAAATATCCTCATCGTTAGATTTGCACGAATTGAATTTTGTTACTATTACATCAAGTAATTTTCTAAAATTATTATTATTATTATAGAACTACTGTTCTTTAACAAAGAAATGGTTAAATATTCTGATCGAGTTTGACATTCTCTATTACCATATATATAGATATATTTTTATTTACTATTATGCTTTTGTTGCTGACAAATTTGTTGAGTGCATAGAATCCACCCTCACTTGGCAAAGGAGCAAAAATCTGCATATTGTCGATGAATTTTTAATTTTCTTTTCAAGTTTATTACTCTTATGGGAATAAATTTTTATTTAAATTATGAGTTCACATCGAGCTTGAAAATTTCTATTATAATATACAGTTTCATCATATCTCTTATTTTTGATTTGATGAATAATGTAAGCATTACATAAGCACACTTGTTAACAAAATTTCAATATTCAAACACTATCTCTTTGCATTTTTTTATTTTAAAAATCTATTTTATAAGAATATTAAAGTTGAAGTAAAAAGAAGAGTGACAAATGAATATGTCTATATAATACTCACATCATTCATTAGAACTTAAAAAGAGAACTATTTCTGTAATGATCATAATTATAACAAGTTAAATTCAAGCTACAAAATTCAATTTTTGCTAATCTCACAATGAAAGTGCTTCCATCTCAATTGTTTTACTTTCTATTCAATAGACATAAGTTAAAATAGAAATATATCAGATGATAGAAAACTTCTAATACTTTTAGAATATATATTTTTATTATGACAAAATATTTATAAAAAAAAAGAAAAAGTCGATTAAAACTATTGTTTTTACATAGATACTCACAAATTCTTGAAGTCGTTTAACATGTTGTAGTTGTCGTTCATAAAAATCTCCTAAAAGATTTTGAGCTATTTCTGTACTTTTTTGATTAAGTTTTGGTTTAAATGTAAATAAATGTGGATCAAGTACAGGAGATAAATCATCACGACCAGTTGTTACAGTTGCCATTATAAACTTATTTTGACTGCATCAACTAAAAAAAATTTCGATACGTGTTTTTTTGTTTGTCTAAAAAGTAAACTTGCTGTTGAAAAGAATGCTTGTTATGTCCTATTTCTTTCTTTGATTTTTTTCTGATTAATTATATGTGTAATGTATGTATGCATATATGTGCATAATATGTCCATTGCAGTTTTTTTCCTTTTTTTTTTTTTTTTTTCACTTCTTCGCAAACAATGTAAACGAGAAGAAAAAAAGAATGATAAAAGGTTTCATTTTAAGTTAAGTTTCATAGCAACGACCCTCTCCGAAGTAATAGCAATTGTTCTTTGATATATCAAATAAGGTAATAGGATATCTTTGATTGACAGACATTCTAGTAGAATAGGAAATTTACGTTATATTTATCAATATTTGCTTTAAATAAATATATAATGATTCTCAAATATAAAATTTTATATAATGTATTAAATAAAGACTTCAGTATTAATCGTTCATATCGATATTTTATTTTATTCATAAATGTTTAATAAAGCATATATTAAGAATGATGTAAAATGATCGGAAACAATTTAACAACAACGTAACCTTCTGTAATATTAGCTCAAGTTCTGATAGTGAATTTAACAGTCAAATGAGCTTTCTATCTAATGCATTCGATACTAGATGACGTATATTATCGTAAGGTTTCTACGAAAAACGAACACCGTAGATTTCAAGACCTTGGAAAACTTTGTTGGAACTATCCTCTAACAATGTCATTATAAACAGTACAAAATGAGGGGTCGCTGTATTCTCTACGACCTTGTCTTAAAAAGTTAAAAGTAAAACAAAAAACGAAATTTACCGAGAAGCTGTTAAAAGAACGCCTTTTACATGGTGTTTGTGATAGTTTTAAGTTCTCATGGGAAGGTCATAGAAAATGTGGCAACCCATCATTTTGTTGTCTTTAAAATGACATTGTTAAAAAATTACTCCGACAAAGTCTTCTGGAATCTGACAACTATGATGTTCGACTTTTTTTAGAAACCTTGCTATCAAAGTTCCTTTAATATAGAATACATTAAATAGAAAATTCTATTGGCTATTAAAATCGTTAGATCTTGATTTGAGCTAATTGCTTAACATTATAGAAAATTATTTTGTTGTTAAACTTTTTTTTTTCACTACCTCTTATTGATCATGGTTTTATTAGAATTTCTATAAAAATCAGAATCAAATATCTTGTTTAACTTGTTCGTAATATCAATATCATAAATGTTTTTATTGTTGTTGAGTTATAAGTTAACACATAAAACGAAAGTTGAAATTATAATATTTCTAATTGTTCAATTATTCTATTCATCGATGAAATATCCATCGAATTGTATCATACAGAATATTAATAATCAATATCATTTGTTAGAAAAAAAAGGACTTATAGGAAGAATATTCCCTGTCTTTCCACTACCTCGCGGTATGGGTTACTCCCCAGCAGTAGACTTATTACTTCGATATCTTCTCTACAAATTAATACTTACTGTACGTCTAGACAACGCAAGTTCTTGCTCTCAATCACTTAAGCTTTTCGTACACATTGACTAACCATATACTAGCAAAGAGAACAGGTGTATGCTGCAACTTAGTTAGCGTGCTATAGGATGGATGATCCGAGACAAACAACCGTTAGTAGCTTTTGGTATTTTTTTTTTTGAGCTATCGATAATTTAATTCGGTATCTTTCTCTTAGCTTTTATCTAATTATTTTTGAATTCAGTCATATCTACGATCTTCTCATGTCGTATAGAACACCTCGTAAATGGTCGTAAATAGCTCTCATCATGATAATCATTTACAACGCATGATAAAACGAGGAGATACGATGATAAACAATGTCTGTTGCAATCATCGTATATTTTTCAGAAGAATCGAATATCGTTCTGACCATTGTTTTTCATATTGTTTTTACATCTAATTAAAACAATTATTCTTAAAACTATCTGTAAACAATAACTTGAGATCAAGATGTAGTCCACTTTTCGAGCTATTTCAATATTAATATGTAGATTTCACCTAGGTCTATGTAACGATATAGTACGTATTTTCCACAAAATTTTGCAATTATGAAGAACAAGTACATCACTTTTGCATATTCTTCGTGCGTTTTTTATTTTGCTCATAAATAAATGTAATAGATTTTAGAGGACTCGTTCTTTTATGTTCTAGATACTCAATATGAAATTTTTTGAAGTTCTAATTTTCATCTTGCTCGCATCATATCGAAATAACAATTTATGAATGTTTGAAAATACTGGAAAACGGCTAAGTTAATTTTGCGATTTCAAATATGGACATTTTTCTTGCAATCAGGCAACTAAACTTTTTTAAACAATTTCTAGTTTTATACTCGAACCAACACAAACATGTCTTACTAAATTGAAATATATTTTTTGTGTATCCACCGAAACGATATCTTTTGAAGTTGTATTTTCCTAGATATATTGATTATCTTTGTATGGAATTTGTCTACAAATAGATACTGTGGATATAGTTTGTATATTTTAATCTTTACATAGGAATTCTATTTCTGAAATAAAGCGTTTCACAATAACAGAAAACATGAAGACAATGTTGAAGAGAGTCAAATGGAACTCAATAAATTAACTCCTGTATTACAATATATACTGTGAAAATACAGCCCCAATACCAGTCAGCTGTTTTTTTCTATGAAAATGGCTCTTATCGATAGCATTTACCTAACGATGAAAAACAGTCGTCAGTCTTTACTGTGTATGGTAGCAGTTATAATTTATATAGCCATTCCAAATAATTTAAGATTTTATTTCCGACAGTCAAAATAATCGTCGTCGGTTCTTTTCAGAAGATTGGTCACTTACATAAAGGCAGACTAATTACTTGCAGCAAGACAACACAAGAATTTGATGGAACTTGGACATACTATTTCAGACTAGTGAATCTTCAGATTCTCGAATGCGAAATACTGCGTCTAAACTCGGGTCGGGTCGGGTCAATAAAAAACTTTTGACCTCGGGTCGGATTGGATCATGAAAAATTAACCCATGTCGGTCACTAGTAGCTCATAAACTAGACATTTGCAGGATCAATCTACTTCGATGCCGCTTTCGAAAATTTCCTAGCATCAATCTTCGAATTATTCGCAATTATTGTTGATAATTTCTATATCGCTCATTTTTCTACCTTAATATCTTTTTTAGCACTCATTCAGATACGAGTCCTAGTTTACACGTTCTTTTAATCGAACTATAAATTAATGAAGTCTAGTTTCCTACAATCCATTATATTTTTGAGAGGTTTTCGTAGAAATTCAAAATAAGTAGTGATGATTTTCAAATCATGATTCATTTTATATTTAATGTTGAAAATATTGTTTCTTTTGTTAAAAGAGCGACTGCAGAAAGAAAAAAACAACAAATAAGCAGTTCTTTCGTCGATTTCACTCATTCTATTTGCTAAAAGACATTTTTAGTGTCTTCCTTTCTCTTTCTTTATGTGCTCGACAGGCGTGCATATTTCTTTATTTTTTTCTAAAACAAGATTCTTTTCATCATTCATTTTCTATTATTCCATTTTCGTTGGTAGATACTAGATTTTTTTCAAATAATAATGAATACATACACACGTTGCGAGGGAGCTTTCATTGGACATGCTATTGCATCACAGTATGATCCATCGATATTAATGGCATTAAATGTTAGTGAAAGTCTTCTTGAATGTAAGAAATTTGATGGATCAGACATTTTATCAAGACATCTTTATTTATATCATACAAAGAAATGTGAAATTGGTGAAATAACAAAATATGTTTATCAGGAAGGAATAAAACGTATTGGTGCACAATCGTCTATTACTCGTGAAAATTTTCGTTTTCAACAATCAACTATTGATGAATTTGTTAAATTAGCTCACAACAAATACGATGGTTATACTGCTGCTTGTGGCCCAGCACAACGTTCATATCCACTTGCTTTTTGTCAGTATATAAATGATGATGACTTATTTGATTGCACTATGCTTGAAGCAAAACTAACTCATTACAGTCCAATTGCAGGTCAAGTAGCTGGTATTATAAATCTTATATGTCGTTCACTTATTAACAATGTAAATTGGGATGAAGCAGTAAGTTCAGCATTCGCAACACCTCGTCTTCATAATGATGTACAGAGTATATTATTACGTCATCATCGGTGGGCTGATCCTGCTGTAGAAACACATGTAGCTTATGCACCAACAGTACTACATGCTGCTTTGCATCATATTGCTGTATCGAAAAATGCAGCTCAAGCAATGGCAAGTGTTGACAGTAAAAATAAAGTTTATTGTTTACCGATTATTGGTATATTAGCTGGTGCTCGTTGGGGAATTCCATTAGAAACATATAAAGATAATATTAATGATTCACAATTAGTCACTCTTCGTGAAGCATCTACTAAACTAACTGCTACTTGGAAACAAAAAACTGATCAGCCATATAATTAAAAGATAAATAAATAAATAGACATTAAATAGATATAAGGGATAGACGATAAATGACTATGTGACCAAATATTGAAATATATCAATTTTATTTCAATCAAAAAGTTGATTATTATTGATCATACAGATTTATTCAAAGTTTTTTTTTTCCAATAAAATGAAACAGAAATAATTAATAGTATTTTGCAGTATCATCATTTACTTCACTCAAAAAATGTACAGCATTGTGGTTTAAGAAGAATAATGCTCTAAACTAGGATTCAACTTGAACAGTATTTGTTTTAATTAAGAGCAATTCTACAAAAGAACTTTTTAATTTTTATTCCAGTTAGAAAAATGTAGCAAGTAATTTTTTTGTTTTATAGATATTATTCATTTTGTAATGTATGTACATATGATTTATTTTGTGTCAACATGGAAGAATGTCCTTTGAAAGTATTTTTATAAGTAAGTAAATTAACGTTATAAATTTTTAGGGTATCGAATAGTGAGAGAAGATACCGATTATTTTGTCACACACACAATACATATGCTACAAAATCTTTTATTTTGTTTATTTTTGTTGAAACATAGACAAACTTAACAACATAGTATATACTTCACATCTCTGTCATCCATGAATCAAGTTAAATTAGAATATGAATAGAAAACGATAAAAAAATATTACTCGACAATGAAAAAGGATTAACTAGTCTTTTATTTTCATTTTTCTCGTAGTTTGCTAGGACGAACTAGATTTCTATTGAAACCATTAAGGAAATCTACAATTTCCTAGATTTAGCTAGAGTTCAATAAGAATCAAGGAAAACTTAATATAAATATCTATAATATCAGTTCTTTATTCTCATTCGTTTCTCTTTTTTTTATTTTCTAGCCTTTGAAAAACGGTTCTTTTTCGCCTAAATCTAAATTTTATCACTACATTTAAGACTTTTATTATTATAAAAAAAAAAGATTTGAAATGACCATATTAATAAGCGAAGATATTACTATTGGTAAAACACATCTATGAGAACCATAAACATGAGTTCGTTTCTTAATGTCCTGAATTTGTAAGAAACTGCAATAGTTAGAACCATAACTTAAGACTAGAGGACACTTCATCGTGAATGATGCTCAAACATGTTGCTTTCACTGTTGTATGCTCTTCTGATTCGAATCAGACAAAAACGAACCGTATGACAGCAAACAACCAGCGAAATTTTGAAACTTGAATGGAATGCCATTCTCTGGCCGCCAGTCTATTGCAGTATATCAATGTTCTTGCGAACAAACATGCGACGTGGGGTCTCAAATAAATAGTCTTTGAACTATTTTGACAATAGTTCATGAACTAAAAATACATCAGAAAAATCTGCTTTGATCTTGCTTTCGAAATCGTTCTATCACAAAAATCTTAGAATTATTGGTTATTGCTGTTGATAAATTCTAGATCCATTACTTTTATGCTGTAATCTTCTTTTCAAGACTCATGTAGACATACATAACCTTATAAACATCCTTTACATCGAGGCGTAAATTAATAAAATCTAGCTTCCTAGAATCTGGTGTGTTTTGAAATATTTTTCTGAACATTCAAAATAAATGATGATGACGTTTGACCTATGATTCATTGCATACTTAATACTGAAGACATTGTTTATTGTTAGAACAACAACTGCAGAAAGAAAAAAAACCAACTAATCAGTTCTTTTGTCGATTTCACTCGTTCTATTTGCTAAAAGACATTTTTTATATTTTTTTTCTTTTTTTCTTTAGGTATTCGATAAACATGAATTTCTTAACTTTTTTATTATGTATCATTATTTTATCATTCATTTTTTTATATTATTCCATTTATTCTTGTACATATTAGATTTTTACAGATAATAATGAATGTATCTACATGTTGTCAAGGAGCTTTTTTTGGACATGCTATTGCATCTCAACATGATCCATCGACATTGATGGCATTAAATATTAGTGAAAGTCTTCTTGAGTGTAAGAAATTTGATGGATCAGACATTTTATCAAGACATCTCTATTTATATCATACAAAGAAATGTGAAATTGGTGAAATAACAAAATATGTTTATCAGAAGGCAATAGAACGTATTGGTGCACAATCGTCTATTACTCGTGAAAATTTTCGTTTTCAACAATCAACTATTGATGAAATTGTTAAATTAACTCACAACAAATACGATGGCTATACTGCTGCTTGTGGCCCAGCACAACGTTCATATCCACTTGCTTTTTGTCAGTATATAAATGATGATGACTTATTTGATTGCACTATGCTTGAAGCAAAACTAACTCATTACAGTCCAATTGCAGGTCAAGTAGCTGGTATTATAAATCTTATATGTCGTTCACTTATTAACAATGTAAATTGGGATAGAGCAGTAAGTTCAGCATTCGAAACACCTCGTCTTCATAACGATATAATAGAAGTAGCATTGCATCGCAACCGTAGATCTTATCATGATTTAGGAAAACCTGCAGCTTATGCACCAACAGCACTCAATGCTGCATTACATTATGTTTCTATATCGCAAAATGCAGCACAAGCAATTGCAAATGCTCGCGGTAAAGACAAAAATTATTGTGCACCTATTGTTGGTATATTAGCTGGTACTCGTTGGGGAATTCCATTAGAAACATATAAAGATAATATTAATGATTCACGATTAAAATCTCTTCTTGAGACATCTAATAAATTATGTGCTATTTGGAGACCAAAGCATGATCATGTAAATGCTTGAAAAATAAATACACAGTAAATAAATATGCACACTAGACTATAAATGACTGTGTAGTCCAATATTGAAATATTTCAATTTTGGTGCAATCAAACAACTTGATTGTTATTGATCATCGAAATGTATTCAAAGCTTTTTTTTTTTCATTAAGAATGATAGGAACAATTAGTATATTGCAGTATCATCCTTGAATTCACTAATAAAAAATATGTAACACTATCAACTCAGATGAATAATGTTCTGGACTAAATTAAACTTAGACAGAATTTGTTTATATTCACATGTAAAACTATGAGAGTGTTCTAATTGTGAGTTACATTAAGAAAATATAGCATATACATTTGTCTTATTATACAGAGCATTCATTTTTACATATTCATAGTGGAGTGTATGTATATATGACTTTTTCTCTCTCAAAATACGAACGTTATTTTCGAAAGTATTTTTTTTAATGAACAAATGAATCTATATTTCACATTTTTGAAGTATATTCTCTGGCGAAAGAAGACATTTACTTTTCTATCAGAAAGAAGAGACAAGCGAAGAAATCCTTCATTTATCACGTTGAAACATAAGAAAATTTGGCAGCATAATAATTATATATTTTATTTATCATTCATGAATCAAGTTAAACTAGTTGACAAACAAAAATAATAATAAAAAAATGCTACACAAAAAGCATAATTCCCTAATATCAACTTGACCTTACACACATATTTTAGCACGACGTCCAAGATTTGTATTATTATCCTTAAAAACAAACTTTGTTTTTGAAGGATTTTTGTAGATACTGAATAGAAATAGTGATAATGTTCGACCTATGATTCATTTTATATTTAATGCTGAAAAGATCATTCGACTTTATAAGAATGATTGCACTAAGGAGAACACCAACTAGCAAGCTCTTACGTCGATTTCACTTGTTCTTTCTGCTAAAGAAAATTTTTATTGTCTTTCTTTTCTATCCTCGTGTTTGATTGATAGACATGCATTTACGTTTTTTTGTTTTTTGTTTTAAATACGATTATTCTGATCATTCATCTTCTCTTGTTTCATGTTTGTTGGTCGATACTAGATTATTTTAAATAATAATGAATATATACAAACTTTGCGAAGGAGCAATAAAACGTACTGATGCACAATCGTCTATTACTCGTGAAAATTTTCGTTTTCAACAATCAACTATTGATGAAATTGTTAAATTAGCTCACAATAAATACGATGGTTATACTGCTGCTTGTGGTCCAGCACAACGTTCATATTCACTTGCTTTTTGTCAGTATATAAACGATGATGACTTAATTGATTGCACTATGCTTGAAGCAAAACTAACTCATTACAGTCCAATTGCAGGTCAAATAGTACTCAATGTTGCATTACATTATGTTTCTGTATCAGATAATACAACTCAAGCAAACGCAAAAGCTTTTAGTGAAGAAAAAGTGTTGATTCGTTAGCTGGTGCTTGTTAGGGAGCTGTAGAAGATACATGTAGAGATAATATTAATGAAGCACAGTTAGTAACTCTTCGTGGTACGACTAGTAAGTTAAATGCTACTTGGAAACCAATAGATGATCAGTCATCTGTTTGAACAATAAATAAATAAAAATAGTATACATATGCACGATTGACTATAAATATCCATGTGGTCGAGTATTCGAATATTTGAATTTTAGTTTGATCGCAAAAATTGACTATTGCCGATCATACAAAATTATTCAAAGATTTTTTCTCATAAAGGAGAATAGAAATAATTAATAGTATTTTGCAGTATTATTATTCACTTCACTAAAGAAATGTGCGACATTATCAATTAAGACACATACAGGTGAATTAATCAGGATTTTTAAAAGACAACAAAATTATTAAAAAATCGAAAAAGATGAGAATAAAGAACCGATCTTATATATTGCAGTAAGGTATATATAACTTTATTTGAAGTCTAGTTAAATGTAAGCAATCGTCGAGTTTGCTAGTGTATTCAATCGAAATATAGTTTATCTTAGCAAGTTCCGACCATAAAAAAGAAAGAAAACAAGGCTTTAGACCTATGGTTTTTGAATAGTAGTTTTTATTATTCTCTATTTGTTCACTAATTTACTTACGTTCATAGTTGATAGGTAAAGTATAAATATATTATGTTGCTAAGCTTTATTGAGTGATGTTTCAACAAAAAAATGAAGGTCTTTTCCCGTAAGTATTTCCTGTGGTAGAAGAATAACTATATTCTCTCGAAACTACAAGCTTCAACATTTTTAAATATTGATTCTTTGTTCATAAAAATACTTTGAAAGATCGTGTTTCGACATTGAGGCAGAAGAAGCGATTGGTGTATACAATATGTAAAAGTAAAAAAAGAACAAGTACATGGCATGTTGACTTAAAGGAAGCGAAAATTAGAATTAATTTTAAGCATAAAAACCTATTTCGTAATTTTGCATCTAGTCGAAAAAAAAACTTTGCATAAATTTAACTTAATCTAAAGCTCAATGCTCCCAAGGACTTCGCGCATAAATTTATGCCATACTTGAGTGGTCAAAAAAAAACAAATTATTGATTAGAAGTTCTTAAAACTTCTTAGAACGCACCAAAAAAGGACATCCAGTCAAAAATTCCTATATTTCATTTGCTCCTAGTCTGACGTTGATCAGTTTCGCTCTGATACTGCCTCCTCTCCTGAACATTTGATACTAAAGAAATTTTTTTCAACTACATTGTTTCTTTTCTATTGTACGGTAGTCCATTATTTTAACTACACGAGCACAAGAAATAAAATAACTATTTGGATCAAATGCACTCGGGCGATCCTATAGAATCCTAACAAGTACGTCGTTGGGTTGTTCCGCATCTTATCTTATCTGGCAGCTTTTTCGACAACATCTGATGTAATCGGAGTGTTTTCGTGGTGTAATACATTTTACATAAAAAAAGAGCGAAACATACATTCTATAATTCATTCAATTTATTCATTTATAAATTAGATGCCATAGAATTCCTCTAAAAAATCATTTTAGAATACAGTTAGAGTCCACTTAATTCCACAACCTCAAGGCAATTAGGAGGGACAAGTGGGGCTCTATTACTTCTAAGTGCCGAAGTGATACTATCTGTCTCATGGCAACAATTCATGAAAACAGTACAGAAAGTTGTTAGTACAATACTTGTGGAATACAATATAGTTACTGTTGATAATCACAGGAAGATTATTTTATTCTATACATCTTACAACATATTTCTTCATCCTTTATTAAATTAATTCTCTAGAAATGCAATATGAAAGCAATTCATTTACTAAAATAAGACGTTATTGATATACAGTCTTTAGTCATATATCAACAACGGATATCATGATGGACATTCGAATTTCTACTCGATATTCTTCAACACATTTTTTAGATCACGCTTCATAAAATTCGTAATTAGCTTCTGTGCATTCATATGTATTTGACTGATTTCATCTTTGCTCTGTATTTCGAACATTCTTTTATGTACGACCTGACATGAAATTCGGTAATTGAAATCTGAATTTCAAGCAAATGTTAGTGACATTTATTAGAATAAAGTATTTGCCTCATCATGCTTCATAAATACTCCATATGAAATGATACGTGACAAAGTATATTTCTTTTGATACATTTCATTGAATCATTTTATCCATGAAACCTTAGACTTATATCATCTTCTAACGGCATCAAAATGAATCAAAGAACAGAAAATTAAAGCATAGACCAACGCTCGATTTATTAGAACTTGATATTTTTGTTAAGATAAGAATAAAATCATAAAACATAGATTTCTCTCATCAGAGAAAACGAGAAAAAAAAATCAATATACTGTTCGAATATGAAGATAATATGTATTGATTATCATTTCAAAAAGCTTCTGTTGTTAATACACTTGGTAAATATTTCTCTGTTATTTGTAACATTGCTTTTGGTAACCAATGTATACCTCCATTAGGTACATATTCATATGGATGTTCTACAGCAAAAAGTTTTGCAAAACGATACCACCAACGAAGTGGTGCTAACATTTGATGAGCTAAATTATGGCTAACAACACTTGAATAACATGAAGCAGCCAAATCATTTACAATTAATGTTCCTAATAAAAATATTAATTAAACAAAAGAAAAATAAATTTTATTTCAAAGAAAAAAATTTACCTTGACTAGTCATCGGTGTAAAATATCCAACTTTATATTCTTCACTAACATTTCGAACTTTTACTGATTGAAGTTTACCTTGTGAATAAATAAGAACAGTATCATGTGTTTTTATTTGATTTGCAGGAAGAAAATTATCATTATGATTTACAGCAATAAAATGATTTCCTGTTAAACTTAAACGATGACCAGTTTCAGTTTCAATTGAATAGAATAAAGCTAAATATAAAACACGAATATAAAATATTTGAAACAAACAAAAAAAGAAAATTAAACCCGGTCGATTAGGTTGACTATCAAGCATCATAATAACTTCATCTTCTTCAATTTGTTTTTGTGAATTCATTACTAATACACGATCACCTGGTCGAAGTTCACGTAAAATTTTCTTTTCACCATTGGCCATTGAAACAAAATCATCACCCGAAAAACATTTAGGATTACCTAAAAATTATACAAAATTAATTCAATGATTTCGAATTGTGAAAACAAACATATGTCAAAGAAGTCGATTAGAAAGACATGTTAAAACTAGAGCCCATCTGAGAAATGTATAGGGTACTCTAGTTACCAAATACAAATTGGTAAGCTCTAAACGATTTCTACCAGAAAACATTAAGAATTTAATTGGAAGTGATTTACAAAAATCCGAAAACTATTCAGCTGAAAGTACTTTATCCAACTTCTATTGATTTCCGATGTTATTCTATTGAAATTCCTTTGTATGTATGCTTATACCGATGAATTTATTTTAATTTAAAACAATAATTGATAAAAACTTACGGCGAAGTGGACATTCATCAGGTTCAGGAGAACCTGGATTGACACAACACCATTGAGCTAAATTTTGTAATTCAGTAAAACCACCTTCAGCTGCCTAAAGAGAAAAGTTCAATATGGTTTTGTTTTTTTTTCTGTAAAAGGAAATATTTATTCTTACCCATCCACCAATGCAATTTCGAGTTTTTGTTTTAAAACATTCCATATATCTTTCAGCTAAGTTACAAAATAATTTTAAATTTCCTTTAGCTGCTTGAATTATAGCTTGTACATCAAGTTGGGCACATTCAGCTAATTGTACTGGATCTTCTTCGACAGGACATGGTAATTGACCCAATGATAATTGTAGAAGTAAACCAATCAAACCACATATGAAGATAAATTTTTGATGTGACATCGTTTCTTCGTGTTCTACTTTTTTCTATTCAATTGAATAAATGATTTAATGATAGAATATATATCGATCATCTTCATTGTTCTTCTTGTTTTGTTTCTCCTCCTCTTCTCAATCAATAAATTACAGAATAAGTATAGTTTAACTTGATTATCGTTATTCAATCCATCATAATGTATATATTTGATTAAGATGATTGAAATACTAACTCAATATTATCCCTCCTCTTCATTTTTTAAATTATATTTTAATAGAACTTAGCAAACAAATTAAATAGACAATTCTTTTTTTTTTCTCGAGTCATACAAAAATTGATTATAGTTTGTTATTTTATTATTTCAATTGATTAAATTCTGTAATTTCATCATAAAAGAATTACTTGAAACGATTTATTATGATTCTTTGTAGCGTAATCAAGACATCGCAGGTGTTAGGACAGTACCTCACGATCACTTGAATGAAATCCATTTCAGCATAGTATCAATGATGGTAATTATTACGTTGTTCTTTCTTATGATGATAAAATGTCGTTGGATCTGGCTCACCCTTGGCTATGCCACTGATTGAATTCCATAAATTCTTCTCTTAATAACGTATCATTACAATCAAATTAAATCTCATATTTTCATTTTATTTTTATTTGAAAGAAAACTGTAAAATATAAATGGTTAATATGAAAGTAAAGGAAAAATTTTTAGCATACTTTTTAGTTTTTGAATTGCTGGTCAAGAACAATCTATTCAAGATACTCGAAGAGTGGTTTCTATATTTTTCAGAGCGATCCAAAAAAAAAATATAAAATGGAAACATTTTTCGGAGCACAGTTATTTTATCTTTTATTAGGCAAACAACTTTATTTCAACGAAAAAACACGTAGAATTTAACAGGCTACATCTTCGTAAAAAAAACACTTTATCTCATATTGAAATATTAATACTTAGTTTATAATATTTTATTTTATTTTTAATTTTCAAATATCTCGTATGAAAGAGAATCAAAAATTGAATAAGATTACTTTTTGAGAATGGATCATGTCAGAGAAATTTTCAATGTTTTCAGTTTCAATCAGTTATAATATTCATTATTTTTACTAAGCTCAACTCTCTGTACAATATTCCATTCAAATGTTGCAACACTTTCAAAGTTTGAAACGTAAAATAGTAGAGAAATAGCTGGAATTTATGACTTAAATTACTTCTTAAACTTAAGAACGCTGTAACATTTGAACGAAACATCGCACAGAGAGCGGTGACGTATCATTTGAAAGAGTAAATTCAGCTTTTCAAAAAAAAACACATTAGTTTTATCAGATTTGAAGCTTCAAATGTTCAATAAAACGATGATAAGTATGGCTAATTAAAACTGAAAACACTTTGACAATCTCACATAGATAAGCCATTCTGAAATATTAGTTTTATTCAATTTTTGATTTTCTTTCATATGAGATATGTAGCAGTAAAAAATAAAAGAAAATGTTATAAACTAACTACTAAGTATTAATAAGTCATTAGATGAATAATGAAAACATTGTCTACATATTGAAAATAACTTAGAATAGTTTCCGTTGGACGAAAATTTTTGCATAAGAAAATGTAAAATAGGTGTGATCTAAAAAATGGTTTCCTTTTAGTTTTGTAGGTTACTTTGAGAAGTATAGAAATGACTATTCAAGTATCTTGAAAAGATTGTCCTTGACTAGTAATTCAAAAACTAAAAGCGTGTCAATTTCTTTTTTTTTCGTTACTTTATATTAAAAGAAAAAGTTTATTGATTACTCTACAAAAAAAATCTTTTCTGAGTGCATAAAACATATAAATTGAATGACCATTTACTTTTCTTTCGTATAGAAAACAAAAAAAGAATCTTCTTTTCAAGTAGACTAATAGAAGAAGAAAAGTCATCAGTCATATTACATAGGCAAAGGTAAACATTGTAAAGTTGTTGGTTGCCCTATGATTGATGGACCTTGCGCAGTAGCAAAACATGGTGATTGATTTGAATCAAATGAATATACTAATGGAGCAGCAGAACTACTACAAACCATTGGTTGTTGAACACTAGCAGATGATATTGGAATGACTTGTGCTGTTGGTGATTGTACTTGTTGACAAACAGTTGCTGGTTGACAAAAAAGAGGAGAATTATAAGCACATGCTCGTAGTTGTTCATTTATCATATCAGGAAGAGAACATGGTGATGAATGACCTTGTGGATCATTTGAATCTGTTCTTAATATATCTCGAAAAGCACCGACAAATTCTGAGAAGTCAATGAAACCATCCCGATTTCGATCGATACACAGAAATATATTTTCAATAGCTCGATCAATATTTTCATTATTTGCATCAATAAGGATATCACGTAGCAATTGACGAAAAACAACACGATCAAGTTTATTTCTACCAAGACGTGTTAAATTCATATATTCTTTATGTAGTATTGCTATGTCTACTGGACTCAATCCAGCTATATTAGCAAGAGATGCATAATCCGTATCTCGATAATTTCCAGAACTAAATGGTGATGGATTTGGAGATAGAGATTGTTGAAATGCACGTTGAAGAGTAGGACTTGCATTTGACAGGTTCATTATGGGAGGTCCAGCACCTTGCTGCATTGGCGGCATTCCACCTTGAAGATTTCGGATTGTTTGATAAGCTGCTTGAAGTTGTTGTTGCTGCTTTTGATTAAGAGATTGAGGGTTTCCCATACCAGGATAAGGTGGAGACGAATACGGTGATGGACCATATGGTTGTCCCTGTGGTGGAAAGGGAGTTGGAGGCGATTTACGACGTGACCCAGATCCACCCATTGATTTTTCAGTTCTGATCTAACTGCGATTGATAATCAGTTTCTATTGAGGATGTTCTACATAGTAATTATGATTGCATGAGGAAAAAAAATGAATGTTACACTTCACTGAACTCCCTATATATGTGATGTAATAAGTCTGCACTTGCTTCAGTAATCAAGGCTCAATAGAGCACATATATGCGTTATTTTACATGAGAGAAAAAATAATGACCTTCCCACCTGGGCCAATAAGTATCAAATATGAACAAAAAAAAAACTTTATCCTTGTATTAGAAAATCCGTTGCTTTTTTTGTTCGTATATCTTTAAACGTCAAAACAACGCTCTTTTTTTCTTTTTATCTTTTCTTCTTTTTTTTTTATTCGAACTTTGTTCTTACACGAATCGAATCAAGTAGCGAGCACAAAAAGTCTTTGTGAAGAACAAAAGAAGGAAAAAAAACGAAGGGTTTTTAGAAGCGTGTGTGCGTATATATGCTCGTTTATAAACAAGATCAACAAAACGCAAAAGAAAGAAAAAAGAATACTGTGTTTAGTAAATATCCAAAAAACCGGTGAATATCAAACAACAATAACAAACAAGATCTTTGTTTAATAACATAAAAACAAAAGAAAAACTAACGTCAAAAATATCTGAGATGATGATGCTCGATAAACAAAAAAATAATACAAAAACGTTTTTTTTTTAAATAATATCTCTGCATCACACAGATATATGAGATAGGAAAAAAAGCAACAACGATCAAAACACACACACGCGTATTTAAGGAAATAGGGAAGACAAACTGTACAGTGTCTTAGCTCCTTTTTATTGTGTTTGATTAACGATTATAATTAGGTGGAGGGACTGAATCGGACGAAAAATGATCATAGCCAGTTGGTGCTTGATATGCAAAGGCATTCGGTGGAGCATTTGATGAATCAGTTCCATAATTATATTGACTTGTTGGTCCTTGAGAAGCTTGTGCTTGATTATAATTCCAACCCGGATAGGAATATTGTGCTGAGTTCGAACTAGCACCAGGTGTATTGATTGAATTACCTGATTGTGATCGTCCTTGACCATATGAATTAGCTTGTGGATGAGGACCAACTTGCCATGTTGCATTTGAAGCAGATGCAGATGAAGGAGCATATGAACTATACGAACGAGGATCGGCTTAAATAAAATAAAACAAAATTTAATCCAAGAAAAGAAAAAAAAAAATTTTTTTTTTTTCAAATTGTTTTTACCATAATTTGGATTTTGCCATTGAGCAGGACTCAATGGTGACCATGGTTGACTATTTGTTTGTAATTGTTGTCGATTTGATTGTGTGCGATTTTGACCTTGTTGACTCGTTTGTTGACTAAAAGAAAAAAACATGAATATATAAATTAAATTATTTAATTAAAAAAAAGAAAAAATTTACTTATAATATGGATAATGTTGTTGTTGAGCAGCAAGTGCGACTTGTTGATATTGTAATTGTTGTTGTGAACGTTGTTCTAAAGAAAAATCATTTGTTTCTTTTTTTAGAATTAAAAGAAAAAAAAAAAAGTTTAATTTCATTTACGTGGTTGATATGGAAATAGATTTTGATTTAAATTGGGCATATTATAATGTGTTAATGGTTGTTGCATCATTGCTGTATTTTGTTGATTATTTTCTAAACTTTTTGGATTTGCACGTTTACAATCAATAGATTTACCAGCTAATGTATGTCGAGGTTGTTTAAGTACTTCTTCAGCACTTTGTTCATTTTCAAAAAGTATAAAACAAAATGGACGACGTTTTTGTTTTATTTTGTCAATTGGTGCTTCGATTTGTGCAATCTAAAGATTGAAAGAAAAATTTGTTCGTTTATTTTTTTTCTTCTGATTTAGTTTAAAATTTAATCATATGTGAACAAACCATTCCGAATTGAGAAAAATATTCTCGTAGTTCAGCATCAGTTATTTCAGTATCTAAACCACCAACAAAAACTTTACGAGCTAATGCTTGATCACGACGATGTGCAGATTTTGTATCAACACGTTTGCCTTGAATTATATGAACATCTTGAGAATAAACCTTTTTAAATTAAATAAAAAAAAAATTAAAAAAAAAAAAATAAGAAAATTTTTGAATGAATTACTTTATTAGGTGTATCAGGATCTTCAAAAAGAACAAAACCAAAACCTTTTGACCGACCTAATTTATCATATTTCACAGTTGCACTTTCAACAGCGCCAAATTTTGAAAAATATTCACGAAGATGTTCTGAAAAAAAGAAAACAATTATTAATTTGAGAAAGTAAAAAATGTTTTTTTTTACCCATCTTTGTATCTGGATTAAGACCACCAACAAAAACTTTTCTTTTACTAAATAATTCTCAGTTAGTTTTACGAAAAAAAAAAAAATTTATTTTTTAAAAATTCAATTTTTTGTATTTACTTGACTGAATCATTCGTTGCATTATCAACTTCATTATTATTTTGTCGACGTTGTTGCATTGATGATCCATTATATGAGACATATTTTTGTTGTGGTATCATTTGTCTCATATAATTATTGCTATTATTTAAATATTTCGCTGGTGGACCTGTATATATTGTACCAGTAATTGGTGATGCCATAGGTAATTGTTGTTTCATAGTAAACATTTGCATTGGATTTTCAAATGCTTGTGCTATATTTTCCAAATTTTGACGTATTGGTTGAAAACCAGTATTATTGCTGTTTGTTGAAGAAGAAACACCTTGATCAGACGACATTTAATCACGATAACCACACACAAACAAACACGAAAAAAAAAAGAAATGAGGAAAAGAAAAACAAGATTTTGTAAACACACGAAACAGACACGAAAAAAAAAGAAAAAGCAACTATGTAAGTTCTAAAAAAAAACAAACAACAAAAACTTGAAGAAAAAAAAAAAAGAAAATCGATCAAGATAAGTAAATAAATAATTAAAACTATAACCAATCCTCTACGATTACACACTTATGCACTTTGAAGAACCTTTTTTTGGATTCTGACGGTTACTTAGTATAGGTAATAAATGAAATTAATACATGGTGATATATAAACGGTATACAAAACGATATATGAAACTATCTATATGCGCTTATTAGAAGTTCGAAATAAAATTGTAGACTATCATATGTAACTATTGGCCCTCTAGCAATAATTCAATACAGTTGATATTTTGAAGATGCAGAATGATTCATAAATAATCTATATGTCTTAAACGAATTGAATTTATTGTTAATTTGATTATTTTCATAGTTATGATGTTCATTTATCTGAATGAATCTGCAAACCTGCTTATCATGAAATATTTCTTGAGAAATGAGTCATTTCGAAATATGACACATATACTTGCAAAAAAATAGTTGATTTCAGATTGAACTTTAAGTCATTTTTTTTGTAAGATCACGTCGGAATTATTAACCTTTAGTTTCTTTTCATAATTTAGAATTTTTGATTTTGGTTCCGATTCGAAATTATTTATTCTTATTGTTAAAGTGTCATATAAAAGAATAGTAATAATACAAGCTATAGAATTTCATCTTTTTATCAGTATGACATTACCTCAAAAATAGCAGTGTTAAATGTTTTTTTGATTGACTCTAAGTTGTAAAAAAGTTTTTAGTATGAAGATCGTATAATTTGTGAGTTTATATCGAAAATGAAATAATTCTTAAAAAAGAAAAACATTTATGATGCTGCTCATTAAGAATTGATCGAAAATGCCTGAACAGTATATAAAACCTCAACAAAATATTTATTTAAAATGTTATCACATAAAACTCAATTGAATTATGATTAATCTTTAATTATAAATATTTAGTAGAAATAACTTCATAAACCGTCGATATATTGTCAGTCATCTATAGTAGATATGCCATAGTAAAATAGCGATTACAGAATTGCTCACTGTTGATAATCATATTATCATCCGTTAATGAACTTTTCATTAATAGTCTTTGTGCGATTTGAATCACATATGAATGATTTATTGTAGTAGTTTAATTAAGACTTAATGTTAAGTTATTAAGAAAATTCTGATCATACTTGATGTACTATAGTCAGTCTGGTAGAAAAGTTTATTGCAATAGTTATTATTTCTTGATTGAATTTAATTGCTTCGACAAGCGATAAGGTTCTTCTTCACTATTTATTGTTTAAACTATCACAATATATTGAGTAAGAAGATAAAGATTTGCGATAGAAATTCATCAATAAATGATAATAGTGTGAATATATAATCGAAAAAATAAGGCCAATATTGTTTATTTTAGTTAACTATATAATACAACAAAATTGTATTGCAATCACTATTAAAAGGTCACATATCTTTAGGGGCAAGTCAATAGTTAGAACTGAAAACAGTTTTTTCTTTTAAAACATGTATTTTATGATTGTGAATTACAAATATTTTTCTATTAATATTGACAAAAATCAGTGCATCATATCGATTTCTGAATACTCTATAAATCTTATTCTAATTTAATAATTTTTTTTGTAACCTTTGATTCTATATTTATCTCATTCATATGATGTAATAACAGTTTATACGCATATATTGATCAATAATATTAAGTTCAATGATAGAATTGAATAATTCATTAATTTATGATTTTAAATGTATAACATAAAAAATTGATGAGTTCTTAGACAAATAAATTTTTCAAAGAAAATTTGAACTTGTTTCTTTTGAATCAAATAAAACGACATTTTATTATCTAGGACTTGATATATGTCCTCGTTTCATCATATCTATGCACGTGTTTGAAGTCTAAAGTCAACTCATAGTTAAAAACAAAAGATAAGATGTGACTTTTTCTTATAACAGAGAAAATTGAACATCTGAAATAATTTCATCACTTTTTTTTTGCGAAGAAAAATATTAAACGAATTAGAAGAACAGATCATTGTTATATGAGCCATTTTTTGTAAGTAATAACAATTCATTTCTTGATTTCAAAAGCTAAAAATACTTTCAACTGCACACACGAACTAATAGAATGTAAGAATGCGACGAAAAAAATACAAAAAGTAAGATTCAAGATAACTATTCCATCCGTCGAAAAATAATATATATGTGAAACGATGTATTATTACACTTTATTTCACTGTACTGCATAATCCAATTTTTACAGTGAACTTTTTTTTTCAACAGCAAACGATCATGATTTTTCTCAATATTTTCACCGTTTAATGAAATTACGGCAAATAGCGACGTTATTAGCTTCAGTTTTGATCATTTTCTTAAACTTGAAGAAATGTCTAAAGAATTCAGAAGAAGAAACCACATTGGTTACTACTTCGAATGTGTATACGAAGCTAATTGCATCACAAGATGATTCACTATTGATGTTTCATATCATACAATTTAATTATTTTAATATAAGAATAAAAATAAAATTGATTATTAAAAAAAAAAAATATTAAAGTCGAGTATTAGGTTTACAACCATATTCTGAAAAATGAAAATTTCCATAAACAATTTCTCCACATAAAAAACAAAATTTAGTTTCACATTTTTCACATGTAAGCATATTCTTTATTCCAATTTTAACATGAGCTTGACGACAATCTTCTTTTGGACATATTTGTATTCGTTTGACAATATTATGTTGAATTTTTTTACCATTTTCATCATGTAATACTTGTTCAAGTTTTTCATTCATATCCAATGGAAGTGATGCTTGAAATTTTTCAGGTTTAATTACACATGGATGTGGACTATAAGCATGTCCATACCATCCACATACCCAACAAAAATGTATTTGACATGCTCGACAATGCATATGTTGACAACCACCATTTTTTTCAATTCGAACATTACATGATGGACAAGGTTTTGTACATTGTTCAATTATTTGAATATTTTCAATTTCTAATAAAAGTTTATTTAATTCTATTTTATTTAATTTTTTTTCATTAGAATTTATATTTTGTTTTATATTATGAAGAATTTCATCTTTAGGACATTGAATTTGTGGATGCCAAATTTGTTGACATCGTCGACAAAATGTAAATTGACAATAAAAACATTCAACAAATGATTGATGATTTCCTGATTTACTTTCTGATGGTGTACAAATAATAGTATAATGACAACGTGGACACCATACTATATCAGATGTTTGTTCTAATAAACGTTGTTGATATTTTATGAATAATTTATTATCAGAAAATATTTGACGAAGTTCAGATTGATATAATGGTGAATCACATTCATAATAATTAATTGATTTTATTTGTATATTAGATAAATATTCTTTTGCATGAGAATTTAAACATAAAAAACAAGCATAATGATGACATTTTTCAAATTGTAAAAAATTTTTTCCTGATTTTTCTTCTAAACTAAAGATTTTAAATAATAATGAAAAACAAAAAAAAAAAAAAATGAAATTTTTTTTCTCACCATATTGGACAAATATGATTCATTTGTTCGAATTCATATTGATTTTGTATTCGATTATATCCAACTAATTGTTCATAAATTTTTTTTGATCCAATTTTATTATAATTAGTTAAAAAACGTATATCATCTATTGATGATTCATTATCAAAAAGTATAAGTTGATGATTTAAATTATAAAAATAATCTTTTAAAAATTCAATCCATCTATAAACAATAACTTCATCTGATTGCCACATTTTATCCATTTGATTTGTTAATAATAAAAGTTGATCACATGTTAAATAATCACATTTAATACAATACAATGGTGGATCAATTTTAGGATAAGTTTTTCTATATGTTATATGAAGAATTATAGGTGGTAAATGACGAAGTTCAGTGGAAATATTCGATTCATTATGAATAAGAAGAATTTTATTTGGTAATGAATCAAAATGAATAATCAAATCAAATGTCGATTGATTATTTTCATTATTAATTAATATAAAATCTTCATTAAATATAGATTTCAATACTAATATTTCTTCTTCATGCTCTACAGGAATCAAATCTACATCAATACCCGCCATTGTCACTGTTATTTTACATATCTAGGTAACCCTATATATATATTCCTTTCATTACATGAGAATTTCGTAATAACATATTATGACTCATCATCAGCATATATTATGTACTTAATCCATAAACAGCGACGTATAAAAAAAAAAACAAAAACAAAGCATGTAAGAGATACGTTCACACAAACAAGCAAAACGATGTTTATATCGATGCCAAAATAACACAATAATAAAGGGAACAAAACAAAGAAAAAAAAAAGATTTAAACTAAGTCATACAAAATGACTGGAAATGTATTTAATTTATCAGTTATAATTCATCATCATGTACATGAGTTGATTTACCATGATCGGTATCCGTATCCTCATCATCATCGCTTGGTTTTTTAGTTTTTTCTTCTAAAATAAAATAAAAATAATTTTTTTGTTTTTTTAAATTATTTATTTAATAAAAATAAAATTACATACCAGCTTCACGTTTCTTTCGTTCTTCTTCTTCTTTCTTTCTTTCAGCTTCATCTTGTGAGTCTTTCATTTTTTTTTCAGCATCTTTTGTTTTACCCCATGTTTCATTACCAAAATCTTCAGCTCGTTTAACACTATCTGTGATAATAATATTATCAAAGATAGTACCTGATTTAACTTGCCATAAATCAAAACCAATCATTGAAATATCTTTATATAAATAAAGATTTGTATCTTCAACATAATCAGGATTATCAATTTCAGGATGAATCCATGGTCCTTTATAAGCTGGATTATCAATTTGACGAGCTTTCCATACACCTTTATATTCAGGATTATCAATCATTGGTGGTTCCCATGTTCCATCAATTTCATCATCCCAATCTTCAGGTTTTTTAGCATCTGGATCAGGAATATGTTCAGCTTTATCCCAATCTAATAATAACAAAAAAAAGTATTGAATAATGTTTCTTTTTTTTTTGCTATAAAAATCTACCGTCTGGTTTTGTATCAGTTGGATCATCAATTTTTTCTTGATCAACCCAATCTTCTGGTTTTTTAGCATTTGGATCAGGAATTCGTTTTGGTACAGTAAAATCCCAATCTTCTTCAAGTTTTCCACTTTCAACTTTTTCACCATCAATACGAACTTCATATGTATTATCAGGATTAAGAATTAATGTATAGAGATGTGTAAATTCATCATCTTTACATTTAATATCTTTTTTAATTAATAAATTTTTGCCTTTATATGTAAAAATAACATGAACTTTCTTTTTATCATGACCACAAATATCGGGACCTAACAAAAGTATTTAAAAAAATGAAAATACAAAAAAACAAACAAATGAATTTTTATTTACCAAACATAATATTATATGGTGAATCACCGGTAAGATCTTTTTGATTTGTATCTGATGGATAAACTTTAACATAACCACCACCACAATCAATTTTTTGTTCATGTTTTACAGTAAATTGAATAACAAGAGTTTTTCCTTCATTTGAAAATGAATCAAATTTAGCCGAAGTAGCATAAAAACGAGCATCTTGTGATGTTTGAAGACCTTGAGAGAAAAAAGAAAACAAATAATATTCTTTTAATTTTATTTCATAGAACATACCAAGATCTTTTTTAGCATCACCATAAAATTTACCATGAGATAATTTAAATTCACCTAAATCAGATTTTGCTGTTGATTGTACCCATCGATTTTTATAACTTTCATCTTTAAAAATAAATTTTAATCAAAAAAAAAAAACGAAAACTCATATAAAATATTTACCTTCAAATTTTTCAACAAAATAATCTGTTGAATAAACAGTAACAGCAAAAGCGAGTATAAGTAATGAGTATGTTAAACGAATCATGATGCTTAAAAAAGACTACAAATGAACAGATATTACTTTTTTGTTGTCTACTTTTATTTTATAGAAGACACAAGCCAAGTGGCAAACAACAGAGCATGGGGTGTGTGCGAATGATTGGATAACATTAAATGCGGTGAACCTATCAGAATTCAACGTGTGGAATGAAAATACTAATATATGATTTAATAAAAACATTTTTTTTTTCAAAATAAAATAAAACATGTAAATTAAATAATGATTTTTAATTAGAATTAAAACTTTGAAGTAATTTTATATGACGACATCTATGTTAGATGGTGTATTTTAAACTTTATTTTCATTATAATTTTATAATATGCAAGAAAATTCAAGTATCAATGAAGATCATTTATTATTAAAACATTTTTATGATGAAGATTTATATAATGATTCTGATGAATATGGATTAGATATTATTACGCTTCGTTATACACTTTTGTAAGTGTATTCATTCAGAATGAATAAAAAATAAATAAATAAATTTCACTGGTATGATATAGACATCAATATCAGCTAATATTATTGATAGATTTCAATATGAAGTAAAAACTAGAGATTTTGTTAAGCGATTTCTAAATATCGAATTTAATCACAATTCAAAAATCTTTGCACCGACGAATCTTTCAACAGCATCTAGGACTCATCCATTTAGCATTTCACTTTAGGTATCAAACAAATGTCAAATACAAGTAATGATAATAAAACTAAAAGTCAAGAGTGATTCTTCGAATGAATATCAAACAGAAGTGGATTTTGTTAATCTCTCTTGTGTTTATACGTAAAAATTCTATTTGCTTTGAGTTAAAATAAAACGGTTTTGTTTGAATATATAATCGAAACATATTTTTTTCTTTGCATCATATTCATTTGACTTTAACTTATCTTTATTTCGAAGAACTATACAATCTGATAAAGAATTACTTATGCAATACATTCGTACTATTCCAATTGATCTCAAGAAAAAAAAACTTTGGAAGAGCGATTGTAAATGTTCTCTAATGATTAATTATATAAAAATTACACATCATAGGCGATAGATTCTATTGAATAGTATTAATAAAAAAATTTTACAATTCATTATTAAGCTCAAAATAAAATCATTATTTCTTTGTAATGTATAAACCTATTTATATGACATAATTGTCAAAAAGCTGGTCGACAAACATTATTGTATCAAACAATGTAATAATCGAAAGTGCTCTTCTATCAGCTTGAATACATAGCAATTTACTAATGTGAAAGAAAAAGTTTTTTTTTTTTTTTTAATTTTTATTTGAAGAGGCATGTTTTTTTAATGATTTTAGACAATGTCGTAGGCAGCTACTTATCTGGATTAGAACCTTGATTGACACAGAATGTGCTTGTAAGTCGTTTTATTTTCAATGAAAAGAAAAAAAAAAATTTTGCTTTTGTTTTTCTAATAATATAGATACTAAAGTTGAATTACGAGAAGATTTTAATAAATTAAAATTTGAATGTGATAATTTAAAAATTGAAACTAGTTTATTAAAAACTAATTATCTTGAATTAATTGATCATTGCAAGTGAGAATTATTTTCTTTTGAAATATATATATGTACAAATCTTATCTAAAGGTTTTTAATTGATCAAACAACTGAAATTATTATAGAACGAGATAATTATTATTCAGAATGGGAACATGCTAGAAATATTCTTACTCCACGGTAAGAAGAATCTTTATAAACTATCTAGAGCAATGCCAAAAGTAGTGGCAATGATATTTGAATTCCTTTACAAAAAAAATATTACCAAATTGGAAGAATTACTTGAAATGAAAACTTATTGAACTTTTTTCAGAATTTCTTTTTTTTTTTGTTCCATCGCCACTAATTCTTTCATATTTGAATATTATAACAAACAACTTTTCTAGAAATTTTATTGTCATAATATTAGTTAAAGAAATGATCAAAATGTAGAGAATTGCTTTTACTATCAAATCATATAGAAAAAATTTCTTTAAGCTTTTTATAAAGAATTAAAATATTTCCATTTATAATTTTTTTCTTAAATCTTAAATAAATTAAATTATTCTTCAGACCTGATTGGGATAAATGTTCTTATCTTATAACACAATGGAAAATTTTATCCATTGGCAAAACAAGTGAACAATTAGTTGATGTATTAATAAATGAAATTATTCATGAAGATACAAAAGAGAATAATAATGAAGATTTTTCAATTATGATTAATAATAAAAATGTATTTATTTGAGTTCAATATAAAATTTATAACTAATTTATTTGTTTAGGATTTAAATTCAAAAAATACCTTTTTTGAACAACTATGTATAGATATATCTTTTGAAGACAAATTTATTAAAAATCGACATATGCGTCGACGAATAACTGGTTTACTAATAAAAGAAATTTGGTCAAATAAATTATTTGATGAAAATAAAGTATGTCAGAAAATAATTTTAATATATTTTCAAAGACAAAAATATTTATGTTAAGTTTGAGAAAAAAATAAATATTAAATTAATTGATTATGTATTTAATTATTTAATAAAAAGATTTCATAGTAAAGAAATAGCTATTGAAATTGGTTATAATATAAAAGATGCATGTAATCGATATCAAAATAATTATGAAATAAATTTATTTTGGCAAATATTAACTGGACAAATCGAAGAAAATGTTTATCATTATGAAATGAAAGAATTTGCTCGTATTCTTCAATATTTAATTAAATTATGTTCGCATTCTTCATCACAATCTGTATGTTTTACAAACGATTTTTAAAAGAAAACTCTCCGTTTTTGACTGTTTTTCTAGTCTATAAACATTTCGAACCGCCTTCAATCTATTCAAGAATTAACATATATATATATAAAAGCCAAGAAACTGTAAATAGGAATGGAACGGTGATAGCAGTGGCGGATTTAGGGGGGCGCTTAGGGCGATCGCCCCCATTCGAAAAAAAAATTTTCGATTTTTCCCAGCAGAAAAGACTTAAAAATAGAGTGCATACTACTACTAATGAACTTCAAAACTCGATTTTTGGTCAAAATCGCCCCATATCTATCAAATCGCCCCTTATCAAAAAAATCCTAGATCCGCCGCTGGGTGATAGTGATAACTGGAACTGTGGCATACTGGTTTAGATATAGAATGACGGTGAACTCATGAAAAGACTACGGTGTTTTGAGATTCATTTCGACTTTTTCAGTCGGTAGACGTCTATTTCAAGAAAATAACCGAATTTTATAAAAACATGACCAAACCTCGCTTGAAGGAAAAAAATTTTGACAAGCATTCAATAGATTAGGACTGTTGGATTCCGAAAGCCTTTAATCTATTTTTATAAAATTCAGCTATTTTCTTCCGACCCAAAAAAATCGAAATCAATTCAAACCCATCATAACTTTATCATATGTTCATCATATTTAACGTTAGTCTATACCGTACATGTTTAGATCGATACTTTCAAGATTTAGAGATGGAATTTTATTGTGATCAATGTTTTTTGTTTTGTAGCCATGATTTGATTTGGTTAGAAGCACTTAAGATTCGATAAATGAAATTTTTTCAACTGTCTGAAAACATTGATATCGATAATCGAACATTGACTTCTAAACTTTTTCAGTCCTTTTTTTTTTTCGTTTGCAATGAAAATCTAATATTAAAAGAGTCTTAAACACGTTTGAAACAATTTTCAAATGAAATCATAAATAAATTTTTAGGGAAATTTTCAACATAATTTTTCGATAAAAATTATTTCTCAATTAAAATGACTAATAATAAAAGAAAAAAAAAGAAATTTCGAAACATATTGCGAGTGCAATTCTTTATCGATCATTTTGTTAATTCTACTTTATTATTTAAGTTATTGTGGACGATTCGATGGTCAGATTTAGTAACTGCACTTCATGAACTTTATCCATATTGGACAAATAAACGTATATCATATTTGATTATGGCTGCTGAAAGAGATTTACAACAATCATCAAAAGAAAGAAATGATTTAGAATTTCTATTATTATTTACGGAAGATGATGAAGGTCATATAGGAGAATTTTTAATGAATATACGTCAACAGTTACAATTAGATAAAACTGAATATATTGAAAAAATAAAAGATTTACTTATTGGATATCCGTAAGTTTCGTTTGTAATAACAAGAGAGATCTTTTGAAATTGTTTTTTTTGTTTTTGTTTTGAAGACTAGTATCAATTAATCAATTCAAACAAGTTGTACAACTTGTTGATCCAAATATATCGAAAAATGAACTTCAAAGATATGTCAATTGGGTATTTGAACTGGAAAAGATGTCATTAACATTAAACAAGGAAGAAATATCATCGAAAACAAATGAAAATAATCAATTAATTAAACCGATACAAAAACGTAATTTTGAAGAGATTATTCTTCGTTTAGAACGTTGTTCTTGTTTTATGCATTAGTTCAATAAAACTAATAGTTTCTATAATGAACTTAAAGACATAAGAAAATTTAAACTTCTATGATTTCATGCAATATTGCGCCTCTTTTCTTCAGTAATAAATGTACACATAACTATGACCTTCAATCTTGGTGTGCCTCTTTTTCTCTTCTACATCAAGCCATTAACCAATGACATCAAGAATTATATACACTTCACCTTTTCATTGCTTTTTACTCAAGTGCTTCGCTAAAATCATGATCGAATTCATCAATCGATTTCTGTAATCACAATCACACTATATATATGCATCATCATGAAACATTTGATGTGAGCTTTCTCATTCAGCTGCATCATAATATGATACATCAATAGCGTCATCAACTATGTATTTTTCTAATTTTGGAAACTCAGAGAAATATTCAATGATGCATCTCATAGTATGAAATTGCACAGACTTTTGGTATAGTCTTATATATATGTTCATGTGGAAACAGTTCAGAAAACATAATAGTAAATAAGTATGTTAAAGCTGTAGTAGAACATGAAAATGTCTATATCGATCTGCACATATTCTTCA